CCCTAGCCCTAACCCTAGCCCTAGCCCTAGCCCTAACCCTAACCCTAGCCCTAGCCCTAGCCCTAACCCTAGCCCTAACCCTAGCCCTAACCCTAGCCCTAACCCTAGCCCTAGCCCTAACCCTAGCCCTAGCCCTAACCCTAGCCCTAACCCTAGCCCTAGCCCTAGCCCTCGCTCTCGCCCTCGCCCTGGCCCTCGCCCTCGCCCTCGCCCTGGCCCTAGCTCTCGCCCTCGCCCTACGCTTAGCTTTCACCTTATATATACTTACATAATATGAAAACGGGCTCTAGCTCTGGCTTTAGCTCTCGCCCTCGCCCTACGCTTAGCTTTCACCTCATATATACTTACATGATATGAAAACGGGCTCTAGCCCTAGCTCTAGCCCTCGCTCTCGCCCTCGCCCTGGCTCTCGCCCTCGCCCTCGCCCTGGCCCTAGCCCTCGCCCTCGCCCTATGCTTAGCTTTCACCTCATATATATTTACATGATGTGAAAACGGGCTTTTCTGCTCTCTTTTACCTATTATATATTTTCAAATTATAAATAGAATCAGCTATAGCTAGGTTCTGATCAGAATTGCGGGTTAGGGGTATGCTCTAGAAATAAAGCAAGGCAATTGGTTGTTTTTAATGCGGATAAAAATGCGGGTCTGACCACCTCAATCCTTTACCCTAGAAATACAAATCCTGCAATTGAAATAGAAAGAAAGATAATGAGAACTTGAAATTCAGAAATGATAGAGTTTTAAGGAAAGCGATCAGACTTCAAATTGAAATGAGACAGAAAGCTTAAAATTTGAGTTGAGGATAGTTTACAGAAGAAAAAAACGATCCTCTTACCCCTGTTTTTGCTAGCGCCAAAAAATTTCTCACCCAAAAAAACTGTCCTCTACCTTGAGAACACTTTGACTTTAGGATAGGGGTATGCCCTAGAAATAAAGCAAGACAATTGGTTGTTTTTAATGCGGGTAAAAATGCGGGTCTGATCATCTCAATCCTTTACTCTAGAAATACAAATCCTGCAATTGAAATAGAAAGAAAGATGATGAGAACTTGAAATTCAGAAATGATAGAGTTTTAAGGAAAGCGATCAGACTTCAAATTGAAATGAGACAGAAAGCTTAAAATTTGAGTTGAGAACAGTTTACAGAAGAAAAAAACGATCCTCTTACCCCTGTTTTTGCTAGCGCCAAAAAATTTCTCACCCAAAAAAACTGTCCTCTACCTTGAGGACACTTTGACTTTAGGATAGGCCAGAACGAACGATCTAACGATTCACTGGAATCTTCTGTAAACAATGAACCCAAGAAGCTTACAGGAAGGTTTCCCTTTGGTATTGAATGGAACAAGGAAACAATATGGATTAAACATCTCGTTTATAGAATAGAACTAGAGAAGCTCTTTACCTGCATCCTCTTGCAGAACATTAAAGCACAAGAAGATGAGAACCCTCGGATCAGCTCACTTTACAACCTATACTACGAACTAGCTTGGATCTCCTGCACCTATCATAGCTACAGAACGCATTTCTTAAACAAAGTGTAATACAAATAGTTCTCCATCAGAAAATCAGAATAAATCCTTCAAGCTGTTGAAGAACAGGAACTTCGCTTCAGGGAGATTCTCAACAGATAGCACTACAATGCATACATCGGACTACCAAACGATTGCTTTATGCAATGTATGAACAAGAAAATAAAATGGTAGCAATGTAGAATGATATTCTATATGATTCATATCAATAACAAAGTTTGCAACTAGCATTAACAGAAGGAAGATCAGGAATAACGATAATACAAGCAAAAGCAAGCTAAAAAGCTTGCTTGAGAAGCAGCGAAGCAGGCTCAGAAAGATAAGCAGTTCTCGATAGATTCAAAAGAACAGAATCGCTTATAAAGGAACTGCAGACGATCAGATCAGAACAGTTCCTATATGAAGCTTTTAGAACAAATTATGCTCACATCAAGTTTAATATATATATTCAAGAATACAAGTGCAGCATACTATTGAACAGTGATGCTCAAGGAAACTTCATATTCCCAAATATCATCAATCAAGTACAACTACAATGGAAATGAAAGAGGCGCCCATACACCCTTAGCACTGTGGAAGAATAACTTATTGCATACAACCAAGAAGTAATCAATAAGAAAACTAATCATCTACTTATCTTAATTCAAGAATATGTAACTAGAGCTTCTTTTAATATTACGAATACAGCATAGCATAAGCTGATTATGAAGCTTCCATAGCTTAAAGAGTATAATCCTCGAATCGATTGGACTACTAGCTAGATCTTATAAGAACAAGCTGTATCCAGAGAGATAGTTGCAATCAATAATGCAGGATTGAAGCTAGTTATTGAAGAATACTCGGGAAAAGAAGCTTTAAACAACTTTATACATACTTTCAAGTTAGCAGAGCTAGCAGTTCAAGGAGAAGGATCTAGTAATAAGCGAATCCAAATAGTGCTAGAGCGCTAACAGATTAACAAAATAATAGAAGCGAGATTCTCAGCAAGTTGGTTCGCTTCGAAGCAATAAGGAAAAGCTTTAGAATGTGAATTGTAAAACTATACGAGAAAAACCTCGAAACCAGGCTCTCGAGCGCTCGGTTCGGCTCGGAGCGAACGCTTAAGGCTCTCAAAAACGTTACCAAAAACAACGAATGAAAAGAAGCACGCTCAACGGTACCTACTGTTCCTTCAGGTAGCAGAAACAGCACAAGGATCAGAACTAACATTTGCGAATATATTATGAGAATATTACAAGTTCAAGAAACTGTTCCAGAAAGAATTGGATACAGGATTGCTAGAATACAGCTTATACAATTACAAGATCCTGCTACAAGAAGGGAAATAGCTCAAATTCTTTCCTATTTATGGATTAAACAAGGCACAGCTAGAGATATTTCGGGAGTACTTCGATGAGAATCTTAAGAAAGGATATATACAATCATTGCGATTACCAGCAGAATACCCCATCCTGTTTATACTTAAGAAGAATAGCAAGCTCAGGCTATGCATTGATTACAAGCAATTTAACAATATTACAATTAAGAACCGTGTAATGAGCACTGCAGCAATCCGAAGATTCCTAAGTACACGAGAGGTTTATGCTAACAAGAGCGGTATCAAAGTGTCAAGTCCTTGAATACGGAACTGTATAAGTCCTAATAAGCAATGCAAGTATTTACTGCCTTTGGAGCTACTCAGTGTATGAAACTGAATACTTAGATTGACAACTGAAGAACTATCTGAAGGAAATCTATCTAACAGTAGGAAATGTAAACCTTTATATACTCAGTTCTTCAGTTCGGATAGATAGGATCGATGTCGACTCCATCGATTCCTTCATCAACAGAATAGACATCAACTGTATCTATCCGCTAATAACCCTAACCCTGAGTCATATAATCAATGCTTTGTCAGAACGTTGAATCCTTAACATCTGGTCCCTGTTACTCATAACCTATTCTATAACCTGCATGTTGGATAGATTATAACATCATCTCCCTCCTATCAGTCATTATCCCCAACGATCTTTCGTAAGTACTCTAGCAAATCTTCCGTTCATAATCTTGCCTTCCTAATCGAGATGTCGAACAGAGTCAGTTCTCGTTGTATTGCTAAGCCTTATTCTCGTTCTTCGCAGAAATCGTCCCTTCTTTCTGCTGTAGCCACCTTCAGTTCTCTTTTGCTCATGCCTTGCTCATACTGCGAAGATCACAATCTTTCAGCTGAGTGCAAGATTGCTGAGTCCGAATCTTCCCGTTGTCAGACCTGCATGCGTCTGAGCTTGTCGAATTGCGACGTTCGTAGCCTGACGCCTGCACAATTGAATCGTATGACTGCTCAATACTGTTGCCTGGAAGCGGAGGTAGAGGCGATCGAAAAGGAGGCTGCTAAGCTGAATGCCAAACTCCTTAGGCTGCACAAGCAGAAAAGAATATAGTACGAGAAGATAATGCATGCTGTTCATCGGGGTATTGATAATATGGAGAAGTTGGAAAGGGTGGAAGCGGAGAAGCGGGCTTGCATTGCTGCTGAGATTCGTTCTGTAGTTGTAGAGGAATCTGCTGTAATTGCTGGAGATTCTTCTTTTGAGAGTTTTGACTGGAATTCTGTGGATGTGGGGAATGCAGTGGTAGATTGGTCGGGTTTCCTGGAGAGCGAGGTTTCCGAAGCTTCTGGACCTCGCTCCGGGGCGGAGCGATTGTCTTAGGTACTGGTTTTTTTTTCTTTTCCAATACTCAGCTACTCTTTCTTGAGCATTCTTAACGTTTTTCTGTAGTTCCCATGAATTTTCGCTTGCTGAGTAACCTTTTCATTTGATAAGGTATTCCCTTGTGCTATCCGTGCCTCTGTGCTTGAGAATCTTCTTCACCTCATACTCTGGTTCGTTGTTTTCTACTTCTGCTGTATTGTTCGCTGGTATTTCCTGTGCTGCTGGTTCTAGCAGTGAGATGTGGAAAACTGAGTGTATTCTCATTCCATGGGATAATGCCAACTTGTAGTTGACTGGAGAAATTTGCTACAAGATTTTGAATAGTTCTAACTTTTTATAGTTGAGTTTATTGCTAAGCTTGATTGTTTTGATATTTTTCCGAAGTAGATAGATTTTATCTTCCTTCTATAGGATTGGTTTCTTAATTCTTTTGGAGTTTGCATACTGCGTTATTCGTTCTTGAACGAATTGTAACTCTGATCGGAGTTCCTTTTGAACCTTTCTGATCTTCTTAATTCTTTTATCTGCAGCTTCTGCATCTGCTTCTAGCAGTGCTTTATAGTAAGCTGTTGGATTGTATCTATAAAGTACGAAGAATAATAATTTCTTTATTGTGCTTGTATCTATATTATTATAAGCGAACTATACAAGAAATAACAGATTAATCCAATTGTTCTATTTCTGATTGATATAGTATTGAAAATACTATTCAACAACTTGATTTATTCTTTCTATCTATTCATCTGTTTGCAAATAAAATGCTATGAATATTCTGTAGTATATTCCGAGCTGTTTTATGAGTAAAGTTCAAAACTTTGAATTGAACTTTCTATCTCTATTAGAGATTACTTCTTCTAGTATGCTATGATTAGCAATGATTATTCTGAGAAATGCATATACAAGTTCCTTTGCTATACTGCTTTCCTTATAAGGAAGAAAGTAAGCATACTTGCTCAGTCTGCAAACTATTACTAGAATGCTATCATATTGCATCTTAGTTAAGAGTTCTCGTAAGAAAAATAGCTTAATAATAAAGTCTAAACTAATAGATTGCTAAATAGTTGTAGATACTGATAAGGAATGCAGTAGTTTATAAGGCTTATATTTTTTTGCTTTATTCTTTTTGCAGCTGTTGCATTATTATAAGATATTCTCAATTCTTTTCCTAAAGCCTAGTAAATTCCAGTATCTTTTGATACATTCATAGATTGCTCTAACTCCCTGATGCTCGTATGCTGATGCATTGTATACATTCTTGATATAATTATCTTATTCATTCAGAATTATTGATTCTGAATTCCTTTCCGAGGATCCGATTCTAAAAGCAGCATTCAGTTCTCTGTATGCATTAACGAGATTTTCCGACTCGTTTTGAGCGAAGATATTCTGTATATCCGAGGAATCTGTATCTCAATGGTCTGATCTTCTGCTGAGAGCATTTGCTTGTTCGTTCTTCAAGCTTTTGCAGTACACAATCTTGAAGTTGAACTATAAGAGGAATTCTACTCATCTAATTTGTTGCTTATTCAAAACCTTAGTTATTATGAATATAATTAGATTCTTGTAATCCGAGTAAACTATGATTGAGTATTGTATACTAATAAGATAGTATTGCTATTTCTCGAAGGCTTTTACTATTGCTATAAGTTTCTGATTAGGGATTCCGTAGTTGATTTCCAAGCTATTCAACTTTTTTGAGAAGTTGCTTATAATCCTTAAACATTCTTAGTTGTTTTGCTAACTAAGTTGTTCTCCAAGTGCATATTCTGATGCATCAGTCTTAACTTTAAAAGGTTTGTAAGAGTTTGCTTTATATAGAATTGGCTCTGAGATGATGTGCTTGATGATCTTATCAAAGGCTTCTTATGCCTTAAAGGTTTATTCGAAAGATTGTTCTTTTTTGATGAGATTTATAAGGGGGTATGCAATTCAGCTATAATTCTTAATAAACTATTTATAGAAGTTGATATATCCGAGAAAAGATCTAATATCTCTGATGTTCCTGAGAATTGGCTAGTTCCTAATAGCTTTCACCTTATCTTTCTGTAGCTTGATATATCCCAGCTCGATTGTGAATCCGAGATAGTCAACTTTTTGTATATGAAAGTAACTCTTTGCAGATTTCATAAGGAGTTTTGCATCTTGGAGCATTTGCAATACTGTTTTTATATATTTCTTGTATTCTTTCAGCATTCGAGAGTAAATAAGAATGTTATCAAGATACGCAATAATGAATTGATTCAGGTATTCGCATAAAACATGATTGATCATTTTCTGAAACGAAGCTGAAGCATTCGTTAAACTAAAGAGCATGATCAAATACTCGTAGTATTCATAGCATGTTCTGAAAGCAGTTTTCCATTCTTCTTCTTCCTTTACTCTGATCAGATTATAAGCTTCTTTCAAATTCAGAACTGTAAACCACTATGCTCCTTGCAATCTATCTCGTAGTTCCTTGATGAGTAGCAACGGGTATTGTAATGAGCACTGCAGCAATCCGAAGATTCCTAAGTACACAAAGGAGTTTATGCTAACAAGAGCAGTATCAAAGTATCAAGTCCTTGAATACGGAATTGTACAAGTCCTGATAAGCAATGCAAGTATTCACTGCCTTTGGGGCTACTTAGTATAGAAGACTGAATACTTAGATTGATAACTGAAGAGTTATGTACAATGATCTATCTAATGGTAATGAACGTGTGATTATATATCCAGCTCTTCAGTTCCTGCTCACTGGTGATCACTCCGGATCACTACTGATCACTGAGCACTGGTGATTACAAGTGATCATCCTGTGATCTGATTAGCTGAGCTCTGTAATCCTAATCCTGGATTACCTAATCATTGATAGCTGTTCAACGTTGGATTGTAATATCTGGTTCCTTGTTGCTGGGATTTGTTTCGTAACCTGCATGTTGGATGAGTTATAATATCATCTCCCTTCTATCAGTTGTTGTCCTCAACAATCTTCTGTAAGTATTCTGGCAAGTTCTCCGTATGCGTAATCATGCCTTTCTAATCGAGATGTTGAATAGAATCTTAAATTCCTGTATTGCGAAGAAATCTTTCTCTGCTTCTTCTGGTTTGTTGCAATCGCATCTTCATCATTTTGAGCGTTTTTTATATATCGAATTCATCGGTTATGAGATTATGCTGTGTTCTTTTTGTTTAGAGGAAGGGGTGCGATGTAAGATGGTGGATGGGGTAAAAAGCTGTTCTCAGTGCATAAAGCGAAGCTGTTCGTGTGATGCTGGTTGGATTCCTGTTTCTTCTTGTAAGTTTTCCAACTGTTTTCTTTCCTTGCACACTTTTCCTGATAGCACTTTCTTAGTGTTCTGCATTACCAATGAGCTGATTCGTCTGGATAGTAGGGAGGTGGAGGAAGAGGAGCGTCTGCTGGAGCGTCAACGAGAGTTAGCTGATGCTTAGGCTCGTTTGTTGGAATCTTTGAGTTGCTTGTTCCGCCTGAAGAAGCAATGATGCTTCCTTCAGGAAAAGGGGATAAAATTGGTAAACAAAGGTTTAGAAGAGGAGGAGCGCGAGCGTATGTCTGCTGAGGTTCGGGCTGTGATCTCCACGGAGCTTGTGGTAGTCGAGGAATCGGCTGCAGTGGCTGGAGATCCTTTCTTCGAAGTTTTTGATTGGAATTCTGTGGATGTAGGGAATGGTGTGATGGATTAGTCTGGGTTTTTAAATGAGATGATAAGCTCTGGGCTTCTCTTCGGGCTGGAGCAGTTGTCTTAGGTACTGGCTTTTCTTTTCCAATATTCAGCTACTCTTTCTTGAGCGTTCTCGACGTTCTCCCGTAGTTTCCATAAGTTTTCGCTTGCTGAGTAGCCTTTTCATTTAATAAGGTATTCCCTCGTGCTATTTATGCTTCTATGCTTGAGAATCTTCTCTACCTCATACTCTGATTCATTATTTTCTACTTCTGCTATATTGTTCGCTAGTATTTCCTGTACTGCTAGTTTCAGCAGTAAGATGTGAAAAACCGGATATATTCTTATTCCATGAGATAATGCTAACTCGTAGTTAACTAGGGAGATCTGTTGTAAGATTTTGAATAATTCCAATTTCTTATAGTTGAGTTTGTTGCTAGGTCTGATTGTTTTAATGTTTTTCCGAAGTAGATAAGCCTTATTTTCCTTCTGCAGGATTAATTTCTTAATTCTTTTGGAGTTTGCATACCGTACTATTCGTTTCTGAATGAATTGTAGTTCTAATCAGAGTTTCTTCTGAATTTTCTTAATCTTCTTAACTCTTTTGTTTGCAGCTTCTGCATTTGCTTCTGATAGCATTTTGTGATAAGCTATCGAGTTATATCTGTAGAGTATGAAGAATAATGATTTCTTTATTATACTTATATCCGTGCTATTATAAGCGAATTGTGCAAGAAGCAATAGATCAATTCAGTTATTCTGTTTCTGATTGATATAGTGTTGTAGGTATTATTCAACAACTTGATTCATTCTTTCCATCTGTTCATCTGTTTATGAGTGAAATACTATGAACATTCTGTAGTATATTCCGAGTTATTTCATGAGCGAAGTTCAAAACTTCGAGTTGAACTTCCTATCTCTGTTAGAGATTATCTTCTTTAGCATGCTGTAATTAGCGATGATCATTCTGAGGAATGTATATGCAAGTTCCTCTGCTATACTGCTTTTCTTGTAGAGGAGAAAATAAGCGTATTTGCTTAGTTTGCAAATCACTACTAGGATGCTATTGTATTACATCTTAGTTAAGAGTTCTTATAAGAGAGATAGCTTGATAATAAAGTCTAGACTGATGGATTGCTAAACAGTTGTAGATACTGGTAAGGGATGCAGTAGTTCATAAGGCTTGTATTTTTCTGCTTTATTCTTCTTGCAGCTGTTGTATTGTTATAGAATGCTTTCAATTCTTTTCCTAAGATCTGGTAAGCTCTAGTATCTTTTGATGTATTTGTAGATTGCTCTAACTTCCTGATATCTATATGCTGGTATATAGTATACATTCTTAATATAGTTATCTTATTTGTTTGGAATTATTAATTCTGGATTCCTTTCTAAGAATTCGATTCTGAGAACTGCATTCAGTTCTCTATATGCATTAATGAGATTTCCCGATTCGTTTTGAGCAAAGATATTCTATATATTCGAGGAATCTGCATCTTGATAGTCTAATCTTCTGCTAAAAGCGTCCGCTCATCCGTTTTCCGAGCTTTTGCAGTATACAATCTTGAAATCGAATTGTAAGAGGAATTCTGCCCATCTGATTTGCTATTTGTTCAAAATCTTGATTATTATGAATATAGTTAGATTCTTGTAATCTGAGTGAACTATAATTGGATATTATATGCTAATGAGATAGTATTGCTATTCCTTGAAAGCTTTTACTATTATCATAAGTTTCTAATTAGGGATTCTGTAGTTGATTTCCGAATTATTCAACTTCTTTGAGAAGTTGCTTACAATCCTTAAACATCTTTGATTATTTCGCTAGCCAAGTTATTCTCCGAGTGCATATTCTAATACATCGGTTTTAATTTTAAAGAGTTTATAAAAGTTTGCTTTACATAGAACTAGTTCTGAAGTAATATATCTGATGATCTCATTGAAAGCTTCTTATGCCTTGGAGATTCATTCGAAAGGCTGTTCCTTTTTGATGAGATTTGTAAGAGAGTATGCGATCCAGCTATAATTCTTAATAAACTGCTTATAGAAGTTAATGTATCCGAGGAAAAATCTGATATCTCTGATATTCCTAGGAATTGGCTAGTTTCTAATAGCTTCCACCTTATCTTTCTGTAGCTTGATATATTCTAGCTTGATTGTGAATCTAAGGTAGTTGATTTTCCATACATAAAAGTAACTCTTTGCGAGTTTCATAAGGAGTTTTGCATCTTAGAGCATTTGCAATACTGTTTCTACATGCTTCTTGTATTCCTCCAGTATTCGAGAGTAAATAAGAATGTTATTGAAGTAAGCAATAATGAACTGATCCAGATGCTTGCATAGAACGTGATTGATTATTTCCTGGAATGAAGCTGGAGCATTTATTAAATCAAAGAGCATAATCAAATATTTGTAGTATCCGTAGCATATTCTGAAAGCAGTCTTTCATTCTTTTTCTTCTTTTACTCTAATTAGATTGTAAGCTCCTTTTAGATCTAGAACTGTAAATCATTATACTTCTTGTAATCTATCTTATAATTTCTTAATGAATAGCAACGAATATCAGTTCTTGATTGTAATATCGTTGAGTTGCTTATAGTTAATGCATAGCCTGAGTTTGCTATTCTTCTTGAGTACAAATAGAATAGGGTATTCTGCTAGTAATTGCAATGATTATATATATTCTTTCTTAAGATTCTTATTAAGATATTCTCTAAATGCTTTTAGTCATGCTTTGTTTAGTCTATAGATAGGAAAGAATTTAAGCTGTTTCCTTTCTTGTAGCAGAATCTCGTGATTATATAAGCTGTATTCTAGCAATCCTATATCCAATTCTTCCTGGAACAGTTTCTTAAACTTGTAGTATTCTCGTAGTATATTCGCAAGTATTAGTTCTGATTCATATGCTGTTTCTGCTACTTGAAGGAACAGTAAGTATTATTGAGCATGCTTCTTTTCATTCGTTGTTTTTAGCGATGTTTTTGAGAGCTTTGAGCGTTCGCTCCGAGCTGGACTGAGCGCTCGGGGGCCTGGTTTCGAGGTTTTTCCTGTATGGATCTATAATTTACTTTCTAAAGCTTTTTCTTATTGCTCCGGAGCGGACCGACTTGCTGAGAGCCTTGCTTCCGTTGTTTTGCTAACCTGCTAGCGCTCTAGCACTGTTTGAGTTCGCCTCTCACTAGATCCTTCTCCTTGAACTGCCAGCTCTGCTAACTTAGAAGTATGTATGAAGTTGTATGAAGCTTCTTTTCCTGAGTATTCTTTAATCACTAGCTTCGATCCTGTATTGTTGATTGTAATTATCTCTCTGGATATAGCTTGTTTCCATGAGATCTGGCTAATAGTCTAATCGATTCAAGAATTGTGCTTCTTAAGCTATGGAAGTTCTATAATCAGCTTATACTGTGCTATATCTATAATATCAAAAGAAGCTCTGATTATACATTCTAGGATTAAGATAGATAGATGATCAGTTTCCTTATTAATTACTTCTTAGTTGTATGCAACAGATTGTTCTTCTACAGTGCTGAGAGTATATGAGCATCTCTTCCATCTCTATTGTAATTATGCCTGATTGATGATATATAGGAATATAAAGTTTCCCTAAGCGCTATTATTTAATAGTGCGCTATATTTGTATTCTTGAATATATATATTGAACTTAATATAAGCATAATCTGTTCTAGAAGCTTTATATAAGAACTATTCCAATCTGATTATCTGCAGTTCCTTTATAAGCAATCCTGCTTTTTTGAGTTTATTAAGAATTGCTTGTTCTTCTAAGCTTGCTTTGCTGCTTCTTAAGCAAGCTTCTTAGCTTGCTTTTATCCATATTATTATTATTCCTAATCTTTCTTCTATTAATACTAATTGCAAACCTTATTATTAATATGAATTATGCAAAGTATTATTTCATACTGCTACCATTTTATTTTCTTGTTTATGCATTGCTTGAGGCAGTTATCTAGTAGTCTGATATATGCATTGTAGTGCTATCTGTTGAGAATCTCTCTGAAGCAGAGTTCCTGTTTTTCAACAGCCTAAAGGATTTGTTCTGGTTTTCTAATAGAGAATCATTCGTATTGCACCTTATCTAAGAAATGCATTCTGCAGCTATGATAAATACAGAAGATTCAAGCTAGTTTGTAATATAGATCGTAAAGTAAGCTGATTCGAGAATTCTCATCTTCTCGTATTTCAATATTCTGTAAGGAGATGCAGATAAAGAGCTCTTTCAGCTCTATTCCATAAACGAGATATTCGATCCATATTATTTCTTTATTCTACCCAATGCTGAAGGGAAACCTTCCTGTAAGCTTCTTGGATTCATCATTGTTCGCAGAGAGCTTCTGCAAACTGCTAGATTGTTTGCTCTAGCTTAGTTCTTCTGTTGCTTAAGAAGCATTCTCCATGTTGCTTAGATGTTTACACCAGTAGCTAAGAGAATACCATCCCTTATTCATATCCCTGGTTATAATGTCTGGTGCAGATGATGGGAAATAGCGAAGAGCACCGTTGTTAAGCCCTTCCTCCAGCACCTGAATGCTTCGTTCAGTAACATCGGAGCAGTCCGAGTTGCTGCTGCTCATAGTTGTGCTAAGCGTATAACCTCGCTCTGCTGTTGCTATTTATCTGCAGCGCTGAAGCTTCTGAAGGAACCATTCTGAACCTTCCTTATTCGAGAGGTGTATTAAGCAGTTATCGTTATAGCAGAATGTCCAGCTGAGACTTTCATAATCAATAGGATCCAACACTTGCTCCGAGGAGATGTTTTTGCTCAGTTGATTGGGTTTCTGCTATCGAGCGACATTCATCTGGCGTTCTTTCTGAACTGGTTGCTATTTGTTCTTCCGGAGTTGATAGCAGTTGCGTGCGATGTGTTCTTGTTTGTTGCAGTTGTAGCAAGTAATGCTGTTCCTCTTGCTATACTGCCTGTTGGCAGCGTTGAGTTCTATGGGATCGGCGTACGTAGTGCTGCTCTGCGCTGTGCTGCTATATTAACCGCTATTCTTGTTTTGGAGTTTCTTGCCCGTGTTAGCTGGAAATCTCCAAGTCTAGCTTCCTCCCTTCTTGAACTTCTCCACCCGTCGTTCATACAGACGGTTATCGATGCGGATAGCTTGATTAGAGAACGTTGCGAAGTTCTCCAGCTAATTCTGTTTGAAGATTTCGTTCTTAACGTTGTTCTTGAGTTCCTTATAGTAGTGTTTCATGAGATTCTTGTCTTCCTACGGAAGTCTTGCTGAGAGCTGCTTGAACCTGACCGTATAAGCAGAAGCCGACTTGGTCTTAACCAGTTCTTCCTGAGTGGGGGCGCGCAAGGACGAAGGGGTTCCTGGAGGAGCTATCGTATTCCGTATTGCTCAAGGGGGTAATACTGATCCGTTCTTGAATAAGAATTATCAAAATGTAATGAGTACTGCAGCAATCCGAAGATTTCTAAATATACAAAGAGATTTATGCTAACAAGAGCAATATCAAAGTATCAAATCCTTAAATACGGAACTGTATAAGTTCTGATAAGCAATGCAAGTATTTACTGCTTTTGAGGCTACTCAGTATAGAAGACTGAATACTTAGATTGACAACTGAAGAGTTATATACAATGATCTATCTAATGGTAATAAACGTGTAGTTATATATCCAGCTCTTCAGTTCCTGCTCACTAGTGATCACTTCGGATCACTACTGATTACTAAGCACTGGTAATCACAAGTGATCATCCTATGATCTGATTAGCTGAGCTCTATAACCCTAACCCTGGATTACCTAATCGTTGATAGCTGTCCAATGTTGGGTTGTGACACCTGGTTTCTTGTTGCCGGGGTTTGTTTCGTAACCTGCATGTTGGATGAGTCATAACAGGTATCAGTTCTTAATTATGATATTGTTGAGTTGCTTGTAGTCAATACATAGCTTGAGCTTGCTGTTTTTCTTAGATATAAACAGAATGAAGTATCCTGCTGATAATTGCAATAGTTGTATATATCCTTTCTTAAGATTCTCATCGAGATACTTCCGAAATGCTTCTAGCTGTACCTTGTTTAGTTTGTAGATAAGGAAGAATTTGAGCTATTTCTCTTCTTGTAGCGGGATCTCGTAGTTATATGAGCTGTATTCTAGCAATCCTGTATTCAATTCTTTCTGAAACAGTTTCTTAAACTTGTAGTATTCTCGTAGTATGTTTGCAAGTATTGGTTCTGATCCTTGTGCTGTTTCTGCTATCTGAAGGAACAGTAGGTATTGTTGAGCGTGCTTCTTTTCATTCATTGTTTTTGGTAGCGTTTTTGAGAGCTTTAAGCGTTTGCTTCAGGCTGGACTGAGCGCTCGAGAGCCTGGTTTCGAGGTTTTTCTTGTGTAGTTTTACAATCTATATTCTAAAGCTTTTCCTTGTCGCTCTGGGGTGAACCAACTTGCTAAGGATCTCACTTTCATTGTTTTGCTAACCTGTTAGCGCCCTAGCACTATTGGAGTTCGCCTGTTACTAGATTCTTCTCCTTGAATTGCTAGCTCTGCTGGTTTGAAAGTATGTGAGAAGTTGTGTGAAGCTTCTTTTCCTGAGTATTCTTCAATTACTAGCTTCGATCCTGCGCTGTTGATTGTAACTATCTCTCTGAGTACAGCTTGTTCCCATGAGATCTAGCCAGTAGTTCAATCAATTCGAGAATTGTGCTTCTTAAGCTATGGAAGCTTCATAATCAGCTTATGCTATGCTGTATTCATAATATTAAAGGAAGCTCTAGTTATATATTCTTGAATTAAAATAGATAGATAATCAGTCTTCTTATTAATTATTTCTTGGTTGTATGCAACAGATTGTTCTTTTACAGTGCTGAGAGTGTATGAGCATCTCTTTCATCTCTATTATAATTATGCCTGATTGATGATATATGGGGATATGAAGTTTCCCTGAGTGCTACTGTTCAATAGTGCGCTGTATTTATATTCTTAAATGTATATATTAAACTTGATATAAATATAATCTGTTCTAGAAGCTTTATATAGGAACTATTCCGATCTGATTATCTGCAATCTCTTTATAAGCAATCCTGTTCTTTTGAGTTTATTGAGAACTGCTTATTCTTCTAAGCCTGCTTCGCTGCTTCTTAAGCAAGCTTCTTAGCTTGCTTTTGCTTATATTGTTATTATTCCTAATCTTTCTTCTATTAATGCTAGTTGCAAATCTTATTATTAATATGAATTGTACAGAGTATTATTTTGTACTGCTACCATTTTATCTTCTTGTTTATACATTGTATGGAGCAGTTGTCTGATAGCCCGATATATGCATTGTAGTGCTGTTTGTTGAGAATCTCTCTGAAGCGGAGTTTCTGTTCTTCAACAGCCTGAAGAATTTGTTCTAGCTCTCTGATGAAGAACTATTCGTATTATACTTTGTTCGAAAAATGCGTTCTGCAGCTATAATAGGTATAGGAGATTCAAGCTAATTCGTAGTGTAGGTTATGGAATGGGCTGATCCGGGGATTCTTATTTTCTTGTGCCTTGATGTTCTGCAAGGGGATGCAGGTAAAGAGCTTCTCTAGTCTTATTCCATAAACGAGATATTCAATTCATATTGTTTCCTTGTTCTATCCAATGCTGAAGGAGAACCTTCTTGTAGGCTTCTTGGGTTCATTGTTTACAGGAGACTCCAGTGAATCATTAGATTGTTCGGTCTAGCTTGATCTTTTCATTGCTTGAGAAGCATTTTCAGTATCATTTAAGTATTTATACTAATAACTAAGAGGATATCATCTCTTGTTCATTTCTCTGATTATAGTATCCGGTACAGGTAATGAGGAATAGCGAAGGGCACTGTTGTTAAGCCCTTCTTTCAGCATCTGGATGCTCTGCTCCGCGATGTCAGAGCAGTCCGAATTGCTACTCGTGAGGATGCTAGGCGTGTATTCTCGCCCTACTGTTGCTATTTGTCTGCAGCGCTGAGGCTTCTAAGAAAACTATTCTGAATCTTCCTTACTCGAGAAGTATGTTAAGCAGTTGTTATTATAGCAGAATATCCAGCTGAAACTTCCATAATCAATAGAGTTCAATACTTGCTTCGAGGAAGTGTTTTTGCTCAGTTGATTGAATTCCTGTTATCGAGCGACATTCATCTGGCATCCTTTCTAAACTAGCTGCTATTTATTCTTTCAGAGTTGATAGCAGTTATATGCAATATATCCTTGTTTGTTGCAGTTATAGCAAGTAATATTGTTTCTCTTGCTATACTGCCTGTTAGCTGCATCGAGTTCTATGGAATCAGCATGCATAGTGCTGCTCTGAGCTGTACTGCCATATCAACTGCTATTCTTATTTTAAAGTTTCTTGCTCGTATTAGCTGGAAACCTCCAAATCTAGCTTCCTCCCTTCTTGAACTTCTTCATTCATCATTCATACAAACAGTTATTGATGCAGATAGCTTGATTAGAGAATATTGCGAAGTTTTCCAGCTAATCCTGCTTGGAGATTTCATCTTTAATATTATTCTTAAGTTCCTTGTAATAATGCTTCATAAGATTCTTGTCTTTCTACAGAAATCGTACTAAGAGTTGCTTGAATCTAACTATATAAGCAGAAGCTAACTTGATCTGCTTAAGGTTTATAAGCTGCTAAGCTGTGATATATTCTTCATTGGAATTACTAAAGGTTTTCTTGAGAGCTTTCTTGAAGCCTTCAAAAGAATCAAACATATTCTTAGTATCCTAGATATGCATATCGGGATTGTTCTAATACTTCAAGTAGTTATACAGAAAAGATTCATACTAGATAAGAGCATTCTTCTTAAAACGAGTTTCTGCAAGAATAATCTTTTCAGATTCCATAATGAACTGAATTGTATGATACAAGAAATATGCTCTGCAGTAGGTAAGGAATTCATGCAGCGTTTTCTGGTTGCTGTTATATATAGCCAGCTTATTCATTTTGTACGCCTTTCCAGCACTATTGGTGGCTGTAGAGGTGGACTGTGCCTGCTGAGCCTGTTGGGCTAGCTGAGCCTGTTGGTTAGCGATGGTAGCGCTCTGGGCCTGCTGTTATTCGCGCAGGTTCTGGATGCGCTGGATGAGCTGATACATCTGGTTAACCAGTTCTTCCTGAGTAGGGGCGCGCGAGAACGAAGGGATTCCTGGAGGAGCTATCGTGTTCCGTATTGCTCAAGGGGTAATACTGAACCATTCTTGAACAAGAGTTATCAAAATGTAATGAGTACTGCAGCAATCCAAAGATTTCTAAGTATACAAGAGGTTTATGCTAACAAGAGCGGTATTAAAGTATCAAGTCCTTGAATACGGAACTGTACAAGTCCTAATAAGCAATGCAAGTGTTTACTGCTTTTGGGGCTACTCAGTATATGAAACTGAATACTTAGATTAACAACTAAAGAACTATCTGAAGGAAATCTATCTAACAGTAGGAAATGTAAACCTTCATATACTCGGTTCTTCAGTTCGGATAGATAGGATCGATGTTGACTTCATCGATTCCTTCATCGACGGAATAGACGTCGACTGTATCTATCCGCTAATAACCCTAACTCTGGGTTATGTAATCGATGCTTTGTCAGAACGTTGAATCCTTGACACCTGGTTCCTGTTACTCATAACCTGTTCTGTGACCTGCATGTTGGATGGGTCATAACAAACCGATACTCGTTGCTACTCATTAAGAAACTATGAAATAGATTGCAAGGAGCACAGTAGTTCACAGTTCTAAATCTGAAAGGAGCTTACAATCTGATTAGAGTAAAGGAAGAAGAAGAATGGAAAACTGCTTTCAGAACGTGCTACAAATACTACGAATATTTGATTATGCTCTTCAGCTTAACGAATGCTTCAGCTTCATTCCAGAAGATAATCAATCACATTCTGCATAAGCATCTAAACCAGTTTATCATTGCATATCTCGATAATATCCTCATTTTCTCTCAAATACTGGAAGAATACAAAAAATACGTAGAAATAGTATTGCAAACGCTTCAGAATGCGAAACTTCTTGTGAAACTCGCAAAGAATTACTTTTATATACAAAAGGTTAACTATCTCGGATTCACAATCAAGCTAGAATGCATTAAGCTATAGAAAGATAAGATAGAAGCTATTAGGAATTAGCTAGTTCCTAGGAATATTAGAGATATTAGGTTTTTCCTTGGATATATTAACTTCTATAAGCAGTTCATTAAGAACTACAGCTGGATTGCACACTCTCTTACAAATCTTACCAAAAAAGAACAGCTTTTTGAATGAATCTCTAAGGCATAAGAAGCTTTCAACGAGATCATCAGGCATATTATCTCAGAGCTAGTTCTATATAAAGCAGATTCCTACAAATCCTTTGAAGTTGAGATTAATACATCAGAATATGCATTCGGAGAACAACTTGATCAGCAAGATAATCAAGAATGTTTAAGGATTATAAGCAACTTCTTAAAGAAGTTGAATAGCTCGGAAATTAATTACAGAATCTCTGATCAGAAACTCATAGCAATAGTAAAAGCTTTTGAGAAGTAGCAATACTATTTCATTAGCGCACAATATCTGATCATAGTTCACTCGGATCACAAGAATCTGATTACATTCATAATGATTAAGGTTTTGAACAAGCGATAAGTTAGATAAGCAGAATTCCTCTTATAGTTCGATTTCAAGATTATATACTGCAAAAGCTCAGAGAATGAACGAGCAGATGCTCTCAGCAGAAGATCAGATCATTGAAATGCAGATTTCTCGGATATATAGAATATCTTCGTCCAAGATGAGTCAGGAAATCTCGTTAATGTATATAGAGAACTGAATGCTGCTCTCAGAATCAAACTCTTGGAAAAGAACTCAGAATTAATAATTCCAGATGAATAAGATAATTATATCAAGGATATATATAGTGTACTAGTATATAAGCATTAGAGAATTAGAGCAATTTATAAATGCATTAAAAGATATTGGAATTTATCAGATCTTAGGAAAAGAATTGAGAGCATTTTATAATAATACGATAGCTGCAAGAAGAATAAAGCAGAAAGATATAAGCTTTATAAATTACTGCATTCCTTACTAATACTTATAACTATTTAGCAATCTATCAGTCTAAACTTTATTACTAAGCTACTTCTCTTATAAGAACTCTTAATTAAAGTATAATATAATAGCATTCTAATAGTAGTTTGCAGATTGAGCAAGTATACTTATTTTCTTTTCTATAAGAAAAGCAGTATAGCAGAAGAACTTGCATATATATTCCTCAGAACAATTATTGCTAACTACAGCATACTAAAAGAAGTAATCTCTGATAGAGATAGAAAGTTCAACTCAAAATTTTGAACTTCGCTTATGAAACAACTTGGAATATACTACAGAATATTCATAATATTTCATTTATAAATAGATAAATAAATGGAAAGAATGAATCAAGTTATTGAATAGTATTTATAATACTATATTAATTAGAAACAGAACAACTGAGTTAATCTATTGCTTCTTGCATAGTTCGCTTATAATAGTGCAGATATAAGTATAATAAAAAAGTTATTATTCTTTATACTTTATAAATATAATCTAACAGCTTATTATGAGATACTGCTGAAAGCAGATGTAGAAGTTGCAGACAAAAGAGTTAAGAAGATTAAGAAAGTTCAGAAGAAACTCCAATCAGAACTACAATTTGTTTAGGAACAAATAGCACAATATGCAAACTCCAAAAGGATTGAGGAACTAATCCTACAGAAGAGAGATAAGATTTACCTACTTCGAAAAAACATCAAAACAACCAGACCCAGCAACAAACTTAACTACAAGAAGTTGGGACCATTCAAAATCTTGCAACAGATTTCCTCAGTTAACTACGAGTTAGCATTATCTCATGGAATAAGGATATACTCGGTTTTTCACATCTCACTGCTGGAACTAGCAGCATAGGAAATACCAGCGAACAATATAGCAGAAGTGGAAAACAATAAACCAGAGTATGAGGTGGAAAAGATCCTTAAGCATAGAGGCACAGACAGTATAAGGGAATATCTTATCAAATGGAAAGGCTATCCAGCGAGCGAAAATTCTTGGGAATCACAGAAAAATATCAAAAATGCTCAGGAAAAGATAGCTGAATATTGGAAAAGGAAGGAAACCAGTACCTAAGACGATCGCTCCGCCCCGAACCGAGACTCAGAAGCCTCAGGAACCTCACTCTCCAGAAAGCCCGACCAATTCACCACAGAACCTCTCAAATCCACAGAGTTCCAGTTGAAACTTTCAAAGGAAGGATCCTCAGCTACAACAACAGATTTCTCTGCCACTACAGCCTGCACTTCAGCAGCAATACACACCCTCTCAGCCTCAGCCTCCTCAGCCTCTATACGATCCAATTCCTCCATGCAAGTAATGCTACAACGCAGGGCATGTTTCATCTTCTCGGATCACATTCGCTTCTGTTAGTGTAAATGGAGAAGCTCGATCTTTCTTTTCTCGATCTCATTCTCCAACTTTCGATATTGAGTAGCAATATTGCGAAGCTCCTCGGGAAAAGGGCCTATGACGTCGCACTTGGAGCAGCTCAGTCGAACGCATTCGATACAACGAGAAGAGTTTCCGGAAGATACCTTGCAAGATTCGAAACCACGATCCTCGCAATAGGAACAGATGGGCATTTCTGTCAGGTGGAAAGGTTGCAAAGGCAATGTGGCGAGGTCTTTTCTCTCTTTCAGGGGTATACAACCAGAATAACATTGAGGCCTAAGGAGCTAAGTTCTGCTCAGCAGTGCTGACGTGGCTAGAAAGCCGCTTTATAGCCGCATATTGCTTAGTCATCCGTAATCCAGCTGGCTTAGCTGGCTCTGAGCCTTGCTGGCACAATCGGCCCTAACAGATTGTCCCCCCTTATCAGGCCTTGTCCTCAAGGCCTTTGAGGCTTCCAAGCTTTCGTTGCTTCCAGGCTTCCGTTGCTCTCAAGCTTCCGTTGCTTCCAGGCTTTCGTTGCTCCCAAGCTTCCGTTGCTTCCAGGCTTTCGCTGCTTCCAGGCTTTCGCTGCTTCCTAGCTGCTCCTACGCCTTCTCAGTGCTTCAGGCTCTTAAGATCTCTCAGTGCTTCAGGCTTCTCAAAGCTTCTCAAGATCCCTCAGTGCCTCAGGTTTCTCAAAGCCTCTCAGATCTCTCAGTGCCTCAGGCCTCTCAAGGCCTCTCAAGATCTCTCAGTGCCTCAAGCCTCTCAAGGCTTCTCAAGATCTCTCAAGGTCTCTCAGTGCCTCAGGCCTCTCAAGGCCTCTCAAGATCTCTCAGTGCCTCAAGCCTCTCAAGGCTTCTCAAGATCTCTCAGTGCCTCAGGCTTCTAAGCCACTCAAGGTCTCTCAAGGTCTCTCAGTGCCTCAGGCTTCTCAAAGCCTCTCAGAGTCTCAGGCTTCTCAAAGCTTCTCAAGATCTCTCAGTGCCTCAGGCCTCTCAAGGCTTCTCAACCATCTCCCTCCTTCTCTTCTGGCTTCGTCCCCGAAGCCTGTGAAAAAAAAAAAAATCTCTTTTTAATCACATTCCAGACGTAAGTCTTCCGAGTGCAATACCCGCGCCATATACGCTGCTCAGTCGCTGCTCCCTCAGCGCTTTATCCAGGCACTCTTCAGAACTTAAAGCTGTTTGATGTAGGTTGCAAGCCTTCCACCAGGGACTTGGTTTGCAGCCAAGGAGCCCAGCATCCAGAACAGCATCCCTGCAGCTATAACGGATAATTACAGCTTTCCGTCTTGAGAGTTGCTCTCTAGCAACTCTGAAGCCGTTGCCACGCTTCGCTCCACCGCTAGGCGCAGAAGGATAATTGGTTTGCAACCTAATACCCAAGCAACTTCAGTTGCCAAGCGGACACTCCGCTTCAGCTCTGCGCTCTCGCTCAAATAGCGAAGAGCACACTCTCGAAAACAGAAGATACTCAGATCTACTGCTTGCTCACTCTGCTCTCTCGCTCGAATAGCGAAGAACACACTCTCGAAAACAGAAGATACTCAGATCTACTGCTTGCTCACTCTGCTCTCTCGCTCGAATAGCGAAGAACACACTCTCGAA